AATATGTGTCAAATGATGATGAATTGAACGGTTAATTTATACTTTTACTTTATGTTTTATGTTCTGCAATGGAATGCTAGAAGTCTAGTAGCCAACGGGCAGGAATTCAAGAGATTTATTGATGCATTTGTTGAAAAACCTGACGTGATTTCTGTCCAGGAGTCATGGGTTAAACCTTGTTTAGATTGTTATACCAGGATATGAAAGTTTTAGAGCTGATCGAGTAAATAGGGTTGGCGGTGGATGTGTCACTTTTATTAAAAATGGTTTACAATATAGTAAAGTAGAGATCAGCATAGAGCTTGAATGTGTGGTTGATATAGTATGGTCAGAGCAGGGAAGGATTTCTATAGTTAATTATTATAATCCAGGGTTGCAGTTAGAGAGAATTACTGGAAGGAATAATGGCTAAAGTTGAGTTGCCAGTGATTTGGACTGGGGATTTTAATGCACACAGTGGAATTTGGGGGAATAGTACTCGAGATAGAAACGGTTCAGTCCTGGAGGATTTTATTGATAATCATGGACTGGTAGTGTTGAATGATGGCAGGCCGACTTGGTTTCAAACAAGTAGTGATGCAACCTCATGCATTGACTTAACCTTTACTTCCCCTGAGCTTGCCATAGTGGGAGAATGGGATATAATGGATAGGTATACTATTGGAAGTGATCATGTTCCAATTTTAAGTAGGATTGGGAGAAGGCTAATTAAAGAACAGGGTTACAGACCAAAGAAGTATAATTATTCAAAAGCAAGGTGGGATGAATTTAAAGAAAGGACTCAAGAAATGGTGCATAAAGTGTCTCGAGGAGATTTAGATAGATGGAATAGTTCAATTTGTGACATGTTAACAAAGGCTGCAGACGAGTTTATCATTACCAAAAGAACGTCAGATTGTGCCCTGGTGGAATGAGGCGTGTACTATTGCTGTTCGAGATAGAAATAAAGCATATCGAAGATTGAGGAAAAACCCAATAGAAGAGCAAGCAATTGTATATAAGAAATTAAGGGCAAAAGCTAGAAGAGTTATAAAAGAGGCAAAGAGAGAGAGTTGGCGCAAATTTTGTAGTTCTTTAGGAATGGAAACAAATGTTAGAAAACTATGGTC